GCTTTTATCAGCTTCCTTATGAGCATCTAACCTTACTGCAATTCGTTCTGCTTCATTAATAGACTTTGGGCCTACTTCTCTTAATCTCAATCTTATGTCAGTATCTGGTATAGCATCGACAAAATAATCTAATGCTAGTAAATCAACGACCTCAGAGGAAGCACTCGGATAAGCCTTTCTAGTTAACTTCCTAACAGACTGTCTAAATTTTGGTTTTTTTCATTTCTACCCAAGTGTTCTACTTTGTAAATGTGAGCGAAATTTTTTCTGCTTTGGGGGGAACAGAACCCTAAAAGATTTTTCATAAAATTTTACAATAGAATCAAAAAAACGTCTTTTTTTTTTATCTAGTCGCATAAAAATCGCCCTGCCCCCCCACTATACTACTCGCAAGAAAAAAACGATTTATTGATAAACTCCAATTATTCAAATTTAAAACTACAATATTTAAAATTTAGCTAAATTTCGTCCCAAAAACATTTAGGGCCCCCTCTATGCTGTTGGTTTTTGGGTTTTTTATGTGTTTTCGTCACTAAAACCCCGGGAGGGCGTTTTCTATTAAAAATTTTTGACCCTATGGTACCTGTAAGTTTTTGGGGTGTCCCCCACTATTTCCAACTGTGAATTTTGAATAACCATTTGTGGGCCATTATTATTAATGTCTTCACAGTTAGGAGTACTGTTTATAGGTCCTCGTCCAATACATACGTCATGGGGACCTGCCTTCTGTATAAAATTATCTTTTTGTAAAGTCACACTCTTACCACATTTAGGTTGTACGTTATCAATTTGATTTTGTAAATGGTCTAGCTTAGATTCGAACACTGACAATGAACTTCTTATTTCATTTTGAACTGACACAAAATTTTGATGTACTTGTGTGCTTAAATCAATAACTAATTTCTCTAAAGTATTGTGGTTATTTTCTCCATCTCCAGTGTTTTCTAAAATTACTCCCTCAGGTGGAATGAACGGACTTTCATTCTCAGTCTGCATTGAACTAACACCAGGTTCTGACTCACAATCGCTGTCTTCCATTACGATTGAACTCTTTAACTGATTAAAAGTTACAATATTTGATTCCTCCATTTAATGCACAAGACCAAATTTACCACCGGTACCAGGTAAGATCACAATAGCACGTGCACAAACTAAATTAACAAGTCCTAAGTATGTTGTTCTTCCGATTATTTAAAGTGATATCCCACCGCTGCCACCAAATTTGTAGCGTTACCCCCTGTTTAGGTAGCGATAATTTATAAGAGTTACAAAGAACACATGGGGGCAAACTACATGAGTTCGCCTGGGCCCGGCTTTTTGGTAAATTGATATTTACTGCCTGTCTGGCAAGGAATAACGGAGGCAATTTAAAGTTTAACGATTAACTTTATTAAAGGAATTAAACAGTTATAACGAACAGCTAATAATATTACATCATATAGTTATTGAAATGTTTATTTGTATTTACGACAAATAGTAATATTGTGCACCCTAATTCTTTTAATTCATCTGAATAAATACAACGAATTCTTTTCGAACACAAATGTCAAATTGTTCCTAAGATATTTGTTCCAAGTTTTAATGTAGGAGTCTTCTAAGCAAGTTCACACTTTAATATGTTATCACCGAGAAACAAATACACTTAAATATTATATTCACCGATTTAGTGGTTTCATACCACAAAGAAACTAGTATCAAATATAGTTAGACTACGCCGTAAGATTTACCCTTTTGTAGCTTTTACCAGTTGGTGAATTTTACCAGTTGGTAAATGTTAGCAACTTCGACAATCCTCGTCACAGTTTATCAACATCTTTGAACAATTGTACACATTAATAAATTAGCACTTGAAATATACGCATGATAGAGATTAGTTATGAGAAATACACGTTGGTTCAATGGTTTATAATTTTCACCAACTAACAAGGTAAATTTAACGAACTTTACACTTTAAAAAGAATGGTTAAATTGGTAAACACAAGACTTAACACTTTGAAACACTGGAGATGGAGTCACTTAGGAATTACCACATTTTTATTTATTTGGTTGATTTAGGGAACTTTACCTCTTCTGTGCCCATAGTTATTTTACCAATTGAATTTATTTTCTCGTTGGTGAGCGACACACGGAATACCCTCGTCAATGGTATTCCCCAAAAAAATAACAATGCCGCTGTATTTATATGAAAATTTCGTCAGATGTGACGTCATCAGCGATGACGTAGTAGGAAATGTAATGGCGGACATAAACCAGGAAGTAACTCAAAATTCACTATTCTTTTCTGGATTTTGAACTTATAAAAGCACTTAGAATGTTTTGAAAGGTACACTTTGTGAAAATAACAGTTATATTATTGATATTTATCAATAATTTTTAATACCTTTTAAGAATATATGAATAAGACACGATTATCTGCTGAAATAAATAGCGGCGAATTCAAGCGTAAAAATACGTCACTTTTAAAGCGTAGATTAGGGTGCACAGTAATTATTTCCTGAAAACAACATGAATAGTCAACACATATAACAAATATACAACATGAAATCATGAACAGTATTATAGTACTACAATATTATACATTGTACATTTAAAATACATATCAATATTTCTAAGGCAAAGAAAGTGGGTGGGGTAATGTAAATATTTGTTTTACATTGAGGTGCGATCGTTACAGAAGAAATTGAGTAGAAGCTGAAAATTCTATTGTAAGCAAATGACCTTCAGTGTTCGAAATTAGCAGTAGTCCTATAGCCCCAGACTACTAAATTTCTCCTCGGGCTACCAACTTTTCACAGTAACAAGCCCGACCAGGCTACTGTATTTTCAGAGGGAATATAAACAACTGTTTTGAACAAATGAATTGTGCTAGTGAAATGTCTTTTGGGCTAGTGAATATTTCAATCTGGTAGTCCGACCAGCCTAGTGGATTCAAATCCTAATTTCTTACACTGGACCTTGAACTTGCTCCCAGATATCTTAGTGGCAATCCGAAGCTGCCACTCAGCAAGTTTGGTGTCAAAAGGTCAAAGCAAACTCAAGGTATAACATGAAAACTAAATACATTAACCTTGATCATAGACACCTTGGTAGCAATCCCAAGCTGCCTCTTGATATAAGCTACCAATTCATCAAGTTTGGTGTCAATAGGCCAAAGCAAACTCAAGTTATTGAGCAGAAACTGAATTTCTATTTTTAGTAACAGTGACCTTGACCTTGATCACAGACACCTGGGTAGCAATCCTAAGCTGCCTCTTGATATAAGCTATCCATACACCAAGTTAGGTGTCAATAGGCCAAATTTAAATTTTTAGTAACAGTGACCTTGACCTTGATCACAGACAACTGGATAGCAATTCTAAGCTGCCTCTTGATATAAGCTATCCATACACCAAGTTAGGTGTCAATAGGCCAAATTTAAATTTTTAGTAACAGTGACCTTGACCTTGATCACAGACAACTGGATAGCAATTCTAAGCTGCCTCTTGATATAAGCTATCCATACACCAAGTTTGGTGTCAATAGGCCAAAGCAAACTCAAGTTATTGAGCAGAAACTGAATTTCTATTTTTAGTAACAGTGACCTTGACCTTGATCACAGACACCTGGGTAGCAATCCCAAGCTGCCTCTTGATATAAGCTATCCATACACCAAGTTTAAGTCAATAGGCCAAAGCAATTTCAAGTTATTGAGCGGAAACTGAATTTCTATTTTTAGTAACAGTGACCTTGACCTTGATCACAGACATCTGGGTAGCAATCCAAAGCTGCCTCTTGATATAAGCTATCCATACACCAAGTTTAAGTCAATAGACCAAAGCAATTTCAAGTTATTGAGCAAAAACTGAATTTCTATTTTTAGTAACAGTGACCTTGACCTTGATCACAGACAACCTTTTTCAACAGCCTATGCATTTCAAAATAACAATTTCAGTGCAATAGAGGATGGATGTGACAAAAATATATACTGTTACTTCAGTTCATAGCATAGCATCCTTTTAATAGATGTGTATCAATAACAATCGAGTCTTTTCTTCAGATGCCATTACTTAAAGGAATCAAAAAGCTCTTGACATACAAGTACACCAACATTTAATGTCATCTACAGTAGAACTTTGGTAAGTCGAAGTTGGAGGGACTTGCGTAAAAACTTCGACACATCGGGACTTCGACTCACGAATCGGTCTGAATTTCATGACAAAGTTTCAACCCGCGGCTAGCCTTTATTACAAGATCTATAACGTAACCTACTTCATGTTTTTCTTTCATTCATTAATCTGATATTTTACATTATACAATGATAAATATGACATGTTAAGTAACTTTTCACGGCTAATGATTTGGACTTCCTGTTGACGTATACAATGAAGTTACAAAAGGCGTAACAATACGAAAGGGCAATAACTTAACCAGCTTATAGTAAATATTTCGCGTGTGATTATCACGCGACACCGGGTCACGGAAGTACTCAAATGATAGTTCTTACTGTTTACATGTACTTTCAAATACCGCTACGGCAATTAAAATAGTAATGATTAAAGCATTTTTTCACACATTTAAACGCATACAAAGGCTGTTTGAACACTCGGCTGTGTAATTAACACCTGTCACTAAAGTTGATCGGAAATCGTCTTCGCGGCCAGAAAAGGTGTGAAAATGTCTCGAGATCGAAGGTGTCAAAATAACCGAAGAACTTCGACTTATTTGTGGTAAATTGTACTAGATTTATTCTATACGGACCACGAAAAAACTTCGACACATCGAAAAACTCGACACATAAAATCTCGACTCATAAATAGGTTTTTATAAGGAATATATAAGGGAAAAAATCGGGACTTTCATTTTACTTCGACACATCGAGAAAATCGACTAATCGAAGTTCGACTCATAGAAGTTCTACTGTATATCGAGAAATAACATTCAACAGTAAAAACTCAAACTCATTGAGAAAACTGGAAGTCAAATTTTCCAATTAAGTTACTAATTAAAAAATAACGACTTACCTCTATAAAATTACCAGCATATAATTCTTCTAATGTAACTTCCAAGTCCATGACTACATCACCACCTTTAGGACTGTCATTATCTTCGTGATGTCCACCTCCAAAAAATCCAAAGTCACCGCCAAAAAAACTGTAAATTATAGAAACAGTATATCATAATTATGAGGTATGTGTATAATAAAACTATTCAAATGATTATAGTTATATAGTTTTCTAAAAGAAAGGGAACAAAGGAGTATAATTATTACTTATTCTGAATCTATAGACATTATTATATCTATAGATAGTTCTTGATTTTTACAATATTTATCTCCCTTGCCAGCCATTTAGGGGGTCAATATTCTATGTAATACAATAGAAAAAGGATTAATCAAATTCTTTTATACATATGCAGGAAAATATTATGTTTGATTGTTCCTTTGACTGGGATTTACATCACACCAGCACAGTATAGGTTATATGGCGACTTTCCAGCTTTACTGGTGGAGGAAGACCTCTAACTGCCAAGTGAAAAGCATCTATGGGTCACTCACAACAAATCAACAAGAAAAAAAATTCTTTCTGAATGAGCAAATCTGATACCTCATCATGTAAACAACAATTTGTCAATTTGTAAACCACTTTGTTTTTTCAAGCAAATGATATTTTACAATATCATTCAATCCTTGCTAAATTTGTAGTACCAACTTGTCCTACTTCCTGTTTGGAATGATTCCAGAATTGTAAGAGGTTTCAATATTTTCATGCTAAAATTGCATATTTAAAAATGCATGCCTCCAGATGAGCAAAAAAAAATTCAAGAAAATCAATTTTTGAGAAAAACTGACCAGGATTTTAAGGAAAGAAAACATATCCATAATTCAAGTAATGATTTACATGTTATATGCAATGAATGACTAATTTGTAGTATTTATTACTGTATTTCTATTGTTTGACGTAGTCAAACACAGTAAGGGCTTTTTTTTACATATTTTGACCTTTATTTGCCTACATGAATTTGTGTGGATTGAAAGCGCTGTTTATAATGTGTAATTACTTTCTTTGTTCACCTAACAATATATTACTTTTTTTTTCAAAATGTTCACAAAATTAAGTATAAATCTTGAGGCATGTTGATTTAACAATAAAGAGCCTCTTCTGATCATGGATATGCAGGTTGACCTAACAGGGTGTCCATTTGATCCTTGAAATGACTCTTTGACCCTTCAAATTTCTTAAAGACCTGATTTGGCACAGTTCCTGATTTTTACAATATTTATCTCCCTTGCCAGCCATTTAGGGGGTCAATATTCTATGTAATACAATAGAAAAAGGATTAATCAAATTCTTTTATACATATGCAGGAAAATATTATGTTTGATTGTTCCTTTGACTGGGTTTTACTCACACCAGCACAGTATAGGTTATATGGCGACTTTCCAGCTTTACTGGTGGAGGAAGACCTCTAACTGCCAAGTGAAAAGCATCTATGGGTCACTCACAACAAATCAACAAGAAAAAAAATTCTTTCTGAATGAGCAAATCTGATACCTCATCATGTAAACAACAATTTGTTTATTTGTAAACCACTTTGTTTTTTCAAGCAAATGATATTTTACAATATCATTCAATCCTTGCTAAATTTGTAGTACCAACTTGTCCTACTTCCTGTTTGGAATGATTCCAGAATTGTAAGAGGTTTCAATATTTTCATGCTAAAATTGCATATTTAAAAATGCATGCCTCCAGATGAGCAAAAAAAAATAAATCAAGAAAATCAATTTTTGAGAAAAATCGACTAGGATTTTAAGGAAAGAAAAAAATATCCATAATTCAAGTAATGATTTACATGTTATATACAATGAATGACTAATTTGTAGTATTTATTACTGTATTTCTATTGTTTGACGTAGTCAAACACAGTAAGGGCTTTTTTTTACATATTTTGACCTTTATTTGCCTACATGAATTTGTGTGGATTGAAAGCGCTGTTTATAATGTGTAATTACTTTCTTTGTTCACCTAACAATATATTACTTTTTTTTTCAAAATGTTCACAAAATTAAGTATAAATCTTGAGGCATGTTGATTTAACAATAAAGAGCCTCTTCTGATCATGGATATGCAGGTTGACCTAACAGGGTGTCCATTTGATCCTTGAAATGACTCTTTGACCCTTCAAATTTCTTAAAGACCTGATTTGGCACAGTTCCTGATTTTTACAATATTTATCTCCCTTGCCAGCCATTTAGGGGGTCAATATTCTATGTAATACAATAGAAAAAGGATTAATCAAATTCTTTTATACATATGCAGGAAAATATTATGTTTGATTGTTCCTTTGACTGGGTTTTACTCACACCAGCACAGTATAGGTTATATGGCGACTTTCCAGCTTTACTGGTGGAGGAAGACCTCTAACTGCTAAGTGAAAAGCATCTATAGGTCACTCACAGTGCCTTTTATAATGTGTAAAATTACTTTCTTTGTTCACTTAACAATATTTTACTTTTTAATAAATTTTCAAATATTTTCATGAAATTTAGCATGAATCTTGAGGCATGCTGCTTTAACAATAAAGAGCCTATTCTGATCACGGATTAGAAGACTGACCTACATTAAGATCCTTCCTGATATCATAGCACAGTAAACATTTTATCTTCACCAGAACTCTTAAGATTCAATCTAAATTTTTTGCTTACCTGCTAAATACATCACCTCCGTCCATATTACTCTTGCCTAGACCTTCTTCTCCATGTTTGTCATAAACCTTTCTTTTGTCAGAGTCTGATAAAGCCTAAAAATAATATATGACAGACTTATTTCTTGCGCTATATTTTGTTTTATTCATTAAAGGCCAATTATGCCTCAGAAATTCTTTTAGTAATATTTCTAAAAACACTTTTATCTTGGTGTACTTTTAAAGTACAAAATGTATTCAAAAAGTAACTAATTGTCCAAATCTCTGAACTATCCTTTTCACTATTGTCTTTTGGCTACAGGTATAGTGAATTAGTATTTTGTATGGAAGTCAAAATACTACTTTGTTTTTATTTTGCTACTTTTATGACAATTATTTTAACATTGATTGCCATTTCCTTCACATCACAAGCATCAAACATTCTCTAAAACCATTATTTAAACATTATAAAATTCATGTTTGCCCTATGACCTTTCTAAAAAAAGTAAAACTTTATTTGCTCCTGGGGTATAATGTACAGTCAACAAAGTTACCTATGTTTTAATTTTCTTCTTTTAATCAAATTTCTTTTTTAATCAAGCATTTATTTATAGGTATAATTACATTATCATTTTTGTTGGTTTTTTTCTGATAAAGTCATCTGCTTGCTTAAGTTTTGATAACTAAGCTTTTTCAGATAACAAATAAGAGCTGAAATCAATCTGTTATCAGCTGAAATTTTTACAAGTTTCACAATGCCTGATATAAGGCTTTTTGCTGACAACAATTTTAAAAACTTTTTGCTGCATTTTCTGACAAATGATTCCAACATTTTTCTAGGAGGTCGTGAAGAAAAAAGAGAGACTGTTTTGTGTCAACTTTAAATTTCACAATTCAATCCATTAATCTATTCCAAAAATGTTTTGAGCAGGGTAACTTTATTATTGCTAATGATCAAGTGATGTTAAATTAGAAATGTGTCCATAAGACAGGGATGGCCCAACATTACTGTATGACACTCAGTTTGACAGCTGGACAACATGACAGACAAGGGCAAATCTTTAAAACCGACGCCCAAGTGGTGGCATAAAAAGTATTCAAATGTGTATTCTTACAAAGCCCATTAAAATTTAAATAACACCAAAATTCATTAAAAAATTTCTATGTACTTCATAAGCTGCTCCTAGGTCCTGAAACCTCTGTTCAGCATCCGGATCACCTCTATTCTTATCTGGATGCATTTCTTTTGCAAGTTTTCTGTAAGCTTTCTTGATTTCATTTGTAGTTGCTCTCTTGGAAACACCAAGAATTTTGTAGAAGTCACGTCTAAAATAAAAACATTTGCATATAAACTTCGATATTCAATATTACAAGAAACAGAAGACACTCAAATTCTTGTATCTTTCTCTAAATTTATGAGTGAAAGAAAATGAGAACTTTTGTAGTTGGAATCGGCAAACATTTGCCTAAAACATGGTATATGTTTAATTTTTAATGCCATTTTATATGTCTACAAACAGTCCTTGATTAAACAAGCGCAACTAATAAAAATTATGTACATATACAGTTTTAATCAAATTTTAATTTGCCTGCAGACTTCCCGAAAGTTAAAAAAAGTGTCAGACATTCGGTCCGACAAACCATGAAAATCTGTCAGAAAGAAATGAAATTTGTCAATCCAAATAAAATTTATCAAAATCAAAGGAAAACTTGTGTTTGTATTTCTTTTTTTTTGTCGTAAAAATCGGCACAGTCCGTACAGCGCATTTTGATCTCCTCCCCAGTGTTTTTTTTTATCTTTTGGGGGAAGGGGGTCAGTGCCCTTTGGAGGGGGAAAAATGCAATAGGAGGGGAAATTTTATTTGGTTATAAATTTATTTTGTATTGTTTTCTTTTAGGAAGGAAAGGGGATCAACTCTTGCATTACAGGTTTAAAATACATCGCTTTTTCTTAATATATGGATCTAAAATATCGAGGCGCCGAATGTTTAACTTGTTGGGACGCCAGGAGAAGCTGACCCCTTACCTACCCGAGAACAATTTGTAAACAATCTTGCTAGTAAGTGTTACAGGCATAAAATAAAACATTATTTCGGCAGTTAGTTGCAAAATAAAATAATATTCATTGCAGGCAAATTCAGGCTGCCGTATAGGGGAAAATTTCGGCTTTAAGGGGGTGAAAAAACATACTATTTTGTGGGGGAATGGGGCCGAATTTCGCCGAATATTTTGGTGAAAAAAAACACTGCTCCCTGTCATACACCAACCATTCACGGTCCTGATTCCATTTCCGTTTTTCATTAAATTTTGTCTCAGGTCTATTCGACTTTTCATCCTTTTACTGCTGTTCTGCGCGCTCCTCTGATGGTAATTATTGTTTTTTCCCAGGTTTGGCATCTTTAGCGACGCCATTTTGTATACATGCGACTTGGATAAAAGCCAGACAGTCAGACCGATCCGGAAAAAAAAATCATCTGACCTAATCAAATTTTATCGGCATGTCTGTCGGACCCTGGTATTTCGGGAAGTCTGGGCTGAGCAATAGAGTGGTTATACGGGGAAATCAAAGAACGGGTCCGCGCTTTGGCTTGCCCGGCTATAGACTACAGTCATGTGTCTATAAATTTTTACTTGTATGTCACTAAGCTATCTATCTTGTCTCAAGCTTCAGGCAATTTGGTTATTTCAATGGCTCAGAAATTGCAGTTTATCAAGAGTTTGCTGCACTTTAAAAAAAAAACTTATAGAATTATAAATTTTATATTTTATAGCGAGCTCGACAAGCTTGCCCGAAGGGCCTGCTATCAAAGCGAGCTTTACAGTAACGCGAGTACCTGCTAGGTGATGGTTTTGAAAACTTTCGTCTGAAGTACCGAATTGACACATCGCAACTTTTCAAATTACAAGATAACGATAAAAGCAGATGAACTCTGATTGAAAACGGAAGCGAAGACTGGTGTCCTGCACACTTCTTTGGGAACCATAATAGAAAGGAGGTACCAGAAAAAAACGGAAGCCGTGTATAAAATACCAAATGACAATTTTAAAACGGAAAATGTAAATAACAAGAGCTGTTGGTAGGACAGCAACGCTCGACTATTCTTAGTGCTTGATAGTAAAAGAGCCTTGATAATGTAAAATTTTCAGAGTTAATAACAAAAGGACAAAATTTTTCTTTAAATCCATGTTAAAGTTATAGGCCTTGGACAGAGTCCTATTATGTTCTCAAAGTATAAAATATCAACTTGTTTCAATAGAATATGAAAATATCTGAGGTGGAATGCAAACCTAAAAGTAAATTCTAAGTTGAAAAAGGGGTATAATTCTGTCAAAATGCTTGATACAGATTCCTCCTCCTGTCTACAGGTTGGGGTTATAATGGTGCACAAGTGTGCAAAGTTTCAAAGCCATATGCAGGGCTCATCCGGAAGGGCGATTCAGGCGAAAACTTCGCCGTGTATATTTCCATTTCGCTCTCCCAAATGATCAAAGAGAAGTCAACATCGCCGATAAAATCTTAATTCCCAAAGACTAATTACTTGGCGATGTAAAGAACAGAGATTGTATCCGCCCATATGACGACTGCTAATTATCATTATCCAATCAGAGCGTCGCTTTATACTACCCTTCTACCTGTATGCAAAGCGATAGACCGCCTACTCTAAACAGTAAATAATGAGAGCATCGGCCCAAAACGGGTATAATTGTGTGACAGTTTTGCGAGTATAATACGGGATTAGGCGATGATTATAGATTGTTTTTTCCCCGATCATCTAAACACGTGCGTATCTTCCCTAATTGATATACATGCGGTGTTTAACCCGAGTAAAGGCGATGTACAATGGGTTTTTCACTGCTATCACAACACTGTTAGTCAATTAAAAATAATCAATTTCGCAAATGATCAGCGACCGGATTAAAAACTTAAACATAGTTTTGAATGATTTCAGTCCGTTAACATGAATTAAAAATTGTTATGTCGCTCACATCATGGCTACAGGGCGAAATGCCCAAACCTAGCAGTAAAAGAAAGTTAATGATACACCTACGCGAAAATTTAAGAAAGCCAATTCGCAAAAATCTTACGATTGATATGTTGTAGACAGTGAGTGTTTGACATTGTTATCTTTGTAGAAATGCCAAATTTGACACAGCTTAAGCACGTGGGCCAACATCTCGGAAAAACTACGAATCATGATCGGCATGCTACATATCGGTCGTATATCAGGTGTACATGTATATAACAACAAAATTTGTCAGGAAAGAAGTGTTCTTAAAGTTTCAATATATATATTTGTTTTAATGTCATAAATATGACGCTCAGATTAAGATTTATCAATATTGTAAATTTCAAAAAGCATTATTTATAAAGATATTACGAGTTAAACATTTCATGAAAATAAAGGGGGGTAATTAGAAATTTATTTTTTATAATATCTCAGTCTAATTTTTCAATAAGAAATGAATGTATATAATTTTAGTGATCAAATATAATGTGCACAAATGTTTGCAGTACATATTTTACATATTCTTCGATGTTTGAAAATTGTTTTATAAGCATAATTATATGCACATAAAACTGACATTACAACATATGAGATCATAAAAGAATTTCTGTAATCATTCTAACAGAACAGACAGATATTGTATTACAGTATATTACAATATCCAATGTAACTGTATCTTCTATTAATGATCCTGTAACAGTTTACACATTATTTTTATGGTTTTATATACAAATTATCATGCTCAAATTAAGATTTATCGATATTGTAAGTTTCAAAAAACATTATTTATAAAGATATTACCGAATTTAATATTTCATGTAAATAAAGGGAGGTAATTAGAATTTAGTTTTCTATAAATTCTAAGTAAATTTTTCCAATAAGAAATGAATGCATATAATTTAATGATTACCTTAAATATGTACAAATATTTGCAATACATATTTTACATTTTCTTCCATGTTTGAAAATTGACAAATTTGCATAATTACATACATATATAATTCAATGAAGAGTGGTATGCAATCTCAATTACAAAACATACAGGATCTTTAAAAGTGAGGAATGTAATAACATAAAATTAATTTATTCATCATACTTTTTCTTACACATTATTATCAATAAATCTACATGAAAATATATAAACAAATATTTAGAGAAAGCTTAAAAATACCTGATAAATAGATTAATTGTGTTTATATTATAGTTAAAGGATGTATAGCCATGCATGTTAATGCATACACATTGGGTTGTTTCCCTTCTTTTTTTTTCGAGAGGAAGTCACTTCTCCCTAAAATTTCCCCCCAGGATGAGCCCTGCCATATGTCAATGGACTTTGAAAATATTTGAGGTATTACAAAAACTTAAAACATAAATTCTAAGTCGAAAAAGGGGCATAATTCTGTCAAAATTCTGGATACAGTTACCTCCTCCTGTCTAAAGGTTGGGGTCATGATGGGGAACATGTGTGCAAAGTTTCAAAGCCATATGTCAATGGACTTTGAAAATATTTGAGATATTACAAAAACTTTAACATAAATTCTAAGTCAAAAAGGGGCATAATTCTGTCAATATTGTAGGCAGAGTTATCCAACTTGTCAATCTGATGAACCTTGTTCCTTTACTATAAATAAGTATTGTAAGTTTCAATTGAATATCTCAAGCAATAAATGAGATAATTGACTTTACAAAAAACTTTAACCAAAATTTCTAAGTTAAAAAGGGGCATAATTCTGTCAATATTGTAGGTAGAGTTATCCAACTTGTCAATCTGATGTACCTAGTTACTATAAATAATTATTGTAAGTTTCAGTTGAATATCTCAAGCAATAATTGAGATATTTGACTTTACAAAAAACTTTAACCAACGCAGACGCCGACGCCGGGCAACTACAATAGCTCTCATATTCTTCGAATAGTCGAGCTAAAAATGAACCATTATTTTAAACTATTTTACAGTTAAAGAAAATCAAGCTCGCTTTGAGGCTTTGCCTTTTTCATATTAAAAATAAGATAAATCTCTAATTTAGTCGTAATACGGGGAAGTCAAAGACCGGGCCCGCGAAGCGGGTCCGGGCTTTGGCTTGCCCGGCTATAGACTACACGTGTATATTTAAAAGAAAATCAAATAAAAAACAATTAAAAAATATATAGAATTCTATACCTATCAATGAAATTTTCAGTGTCAGTTCTAGTCCGGCGCCGCCATTTACAATGTAACTCAATGATAATAGGCGGGTATTCCGATAACGGAACAAATCTCAACTTTTCGGATAAATGATAATCGTCGAGTGTTCCGAGTGAAAACGGGAGCGGTGCATGTAATACTGAATGACACCTTTAAAACGGAAAGAATGAACGGAATTTTTAACGACTTCCCCGTTCATAGGCATTGCCTAATTTCATATTAGTAGTTTTTAATGTTTCATTTTAAGTTAAATCCCCACCCCCACTGGCATGGACACTGGCCCCAGTCTCAAACCATAAATTTATGAAAGACCTGGGCTAAAGTTACTTTTGCTAGACCTACTTTCACTTTGATTCTATTGAAATGTTGAATGAAAATGAATCTTAAAATTAAATACATTCTACACTTGATTTCAATATGGACATTTCAATTGGAATTACTTAGAGCGAGATGAAAATAATGTTATAAGAGCAACACTGCATCTTAAAAAGTAGTTTTTCAACCATAAAATGGGTAGCGTCTCTCAGCCAATCAAATTACAACACGCAAACCGGCATCAATAAAATGAATTTTATCGCTTAAATAAGTAACGAATTAATTAAAAATTAAAAAGCTACAAAATAAAAATGATAATCTGTGTGATTTTTAAGTTTTTGGACATACCCTGCCATTATTTGTACGAAAATTACAAAAAGCGAAATCGCAAACAAAACAACTTTCCCCATCGACGCCATCTTGAATTTAACACATTGCTTCCGGTTTATTATTGGCGAATATTTCAAATTCAGTATTGTTGTAGGCTGCATATGGACGTCAGCAGATTTTCTAAAATTAAGTTCCGCTCCTTTCTAGACAAAACGGTTGACATTTCGAAAAGAGAAGCAGCATTTGGTTTTGAAAGGGATTCTACGGGATTCGTTTTGCTTTATTTGTTTTTGTAGTATGTACACGTGTGTTATAAATAATTTTATTGGCGCACTGTTTTGCCGAGATTGGAGATTGGGCATATTTAAATTATGCATGCATACTAGAACATACAAGAACTTTTTATTTGCACTTTTTAATGGAGTTTTAACAGGTGATATGCAAAATGCAGATTATTGATGAATGACCTTATAGTAGATACTTGCAAGCAACCAGACGGCATGTTGCCCGTGCATATCATGGCGGGAAACATCAGCGTATATCTTCTGCATGCAAGCCAATGTAATGTAAAATCGTCCGGTCAGCTCAATACATAAGCGTTGGACTAGAACTGTTAGTCGGGCGAATGTGAAGAGAACTACATGTAGCCGTAGTACTGGAAAATTGCCAAACAGCCTGCCCATGAACGATGTGGTGGCTGAACTTTATACAATTTGAATTCAAAGTGGCTTACTAGGGGCCGTGATCCCGAGGGTGGATTTTTTTTCAAGAAACTGTCCGATCCCAAGAGATTTAAGTATTGTATTGTATTCATTTGAGCTTAATCAGACGAGACCATGCAAGTACGTTTATCTTATATTTGTCTGTGAAATAATGATATAAATACATATTGTAAAATTTCTAATAAAATGACACCGTTTTCAAGTGTTTTGATAAGCAACCATCGGGTTCAAAATCTTAACGTTCTTGAGTCGTAATAAAGAGTTTCAAAAGCCTAATTAGGACTTCTTCACATAGAGCTCAGAAAATAATTGCTATCTCGTGCCCACGAGTTATTACTAAGAAAAAAAAACAACAACAAAAAACAAAAAGTCGCTTTTACATACATAGAGGGATTTCAATATTACTTCGCACAAATGTTCACATTGTCAGGTGTTACTTATCTCACCAAATTCTATGTCAGCCGAAAATTGATAAATTCAATCAAACCATATGGGCATAAGAAACAAGTAAACAAGGTGATATATAATATTTCGACAAATAACTCTTCTTTATTAAAGTTAAGATACTACAGATAAAAACGACTTGTATTTTTCAAATGTGGGTTTTTAGTAATTTAACTTCCCAAAAAAACCATTTAAAAAATAAAAAACCAAAAGGAAAAGTTTAAGTAATAAAATTCATTTCGACTAATAAAAAGCATTGAAAACATTTCATTTTTTTTTAATTTTTATTAAATTTTTACACTTTAAAAAAGCATTTCCCTTTAACATTTTCCCTCATATAGACGCGTGTTTTGAGGCCTCAAACAGTGAAAAAAATGTCCTATTTAGGCCCCAAACACTGTTTTTCGTTTGATAAATGTTGTTAAAAAAGTGACCACTTTTTCGGCGCCGCCCCCATCAAAATGGTACATCAGGGGGTTGCCAGAAGGGGGATGTGACCCCTTCTGTTAGGGGGGTTTGAAGGGGGGCGGTAGTCCCCCTCATCGCCAAGAAAATTTTGGACATGTGACAGGCTAAAAATGGCCTAGGGTCGATCTTAGGGTAACTAGTAACCGACGCTGAAAAGCCTTTCACTCTATCTCAATTCATTGAGAAGTTGCAGCACTTTGAAATCAGTTTTGATGGGAAAAAAACAATGCAAAATAGTGATTTTCGGCAATTTTGAGACGTCCCCCCCCGTTGCCATGGTAACAGGAAATTTACGATTGAGCATGCTGTTACAGAGGCTATGGTCTAGTCAACATTTGTGCCAAGTTTCATCAGTATTTTGACCTTGTAACAGGAGGCTTTTCAATGAAAACGGCCATTTTTCACAATGTGCTCATGGGGTAAAAGGTTAAAACAGAATGACATGTTGAAAAAAATATTCCTTTAGCATATATTGTCACATTAAGGTTTGTTGTAGTACCGATACATCTGGAAACTGGTCGTTGTGAAAACATTGATGTATGTAACAGAAGCTGTATTGAAGATGAGATACATGTACATGTAAACTTTGTCCATTATACAAGGATGCAAGCAACCAGTAAATTGGTGTTTCTAATGCGGAAGAAAATTTCAAAATGTCAGATTTCATAGATTATAATCTGACATATTAATGAATGTATAAACAATATTGATAATGATTTGTAAGATACATATTTCAGTAATAAACAACACGTTGATTTCTTTTTAATTCTTATTATAAAGACAGACATTTTATTTTTGTAGTATAAAGTTGACAAATTCAAAATATATTCTTAACTTTTGTTATTGTTATTTATTCTCACTGATGACTTATCGTACTTTATTAATTTTTAAACATAATATTGTCAAAGTCCATGTCTTCGATCAGTATGATATCTTAATCTTCTGTAGTGTTTTCTTACCGTTACATGCATTTGTTATTGCCAGAAATGATTTATCACGTGAGACACACATTCTTCTTGGATAAATCATATCTGTCTGGTACAATGTTAAGATATGCCCTGTTTGTGATATCTGTACAATGGAGTTTGTTCTATCACTACAAACCAGGATAGTATCAGAGGGACCAACCGCTACACCACATGGTTCCTTTATCTGATCATCCTTTACCAAGACTCTCGTGTTTGTCTTGATATCATATATATAGACAGTATGCTCATCGCAGTCTGTAAGCACCACTTTGTCACTGCTCTTAATGTAAGTACAAGCGCTTGTGTTTCTACGATATGACTTTTTCGGAAAGTTAATGCTGAAATCTTTCTCTTCTCCTGTAGATGTTATAATACGAACAGGTGTTGAATGATCAATTGTCCCGCCGACAAAATGTTCGTCATCTTGTCGACATATCCAGCCATATTTTGTTGCCACTTTGATTGTTCTCTCTAAAGTTATGTCATTAAATATGTTAACGCGTAGAATGTCTAACTTTAATGCACCGCCACTTGTTACTGCTGCTTCATCCTTAGATACAGCAGCAACAGATTGTGGAGAATACGGTAACTGATATGATCCTACTTCCTCCAGCTTCTCATTATAAACTATAAATTTCTTGTTGTTATTATCAACAGCAACAAGTCTACCATCAGCTAAAAAATCAATCCCCGAATACAAGGGCTCTTTTTCTGAATTGTTTTTCTGCTTTAAATTAATGCAATTAACTGGTGTGATACTCATTGCCTTGTCAACAGAAGCTAGAACATCTGATAGACGGAATTTTACAGACAGTTGTCCTGGAACATAATCAGTGACTGGTAGAGGGGGGAGTTTTAATGTTTCATCAAAATCAAAAGTTACAGTCACTGTCTCTAAACCTTGATATTCCGCATCGACATTTTTGTGAAGATCGTTGACGTCATTTTGCATCTTCTGGTCTACTATATACTGTTGTATCAGAGATCCGTTCTGATACACGTTGTCAATCATTTCCATAAACGTTGTTATATCAGCTAGATATTTCATTGTCTGTGACTGCTTCATCGACAGCTTTTCTAATGTTTCTTTCTGAAACGATTCGGCGTCTTTAACAACGGAAATTTCCAACTCGTCAAAAACTTTGATTACTTCATCCCGCATTCGCCTGATTTTAATTGGCATTTCTGTAATATCCTCATCGAGTTTCTCTTTTGATGAGTCAATGGTGTCTACGATTATGTTAGCCTTCTGTCTCACTTCCTCCAGTTTATTCTTTAGAGTTGATCTTCTGTAGGTAGACCTTTCAACGACCTTTAGAAATTCCACAACGCTGTGGCATTTACGATGGTCAACAATAGCACATGTATTGCAGCAGAGCTGATTCTCATCTTCACAGAAGAATTTTAGAATTTCCTGATGTTGATCACATTGGTCTAATCCTTTCATATTGCACGAGCCTTGTTTCGTTCTCGCCTCATTCGCGTTCACTAATTTGTGACTCCCTAAGAAGGCGTGTGTGTAGTGAACGTTGGCACAATCCAAGCACTGAAATTCATCACAAGTTGAACAAAACTTTGCCGCTTTTGTTTGTTTATCCTTCTTTAAACATGGTTGACAATTAATTTGTTTCACCTTCCCGGGTACTTCATAATTTTCTTCATAGATACACCCCATCTCCGCCATTTTGAAAATAATAACTGATTGTGTGACTTTTTCAAATAGATAAAATTTAAGTGCTCTAGAAATGATAATGAGTGTATATGTATACGATATTTGCGGGTAAACTTTGGTTTATAAGATATGTTAAGTTATAAACAATGTAGTGGCACTTTTATATGAATTTTTTAATACATGTATGCATAAATAATCCTTAAATTACTTGAACCTGCCACATGATATGGTACATGACCCAAGTGTAACTGTATTATGTGCAAAGTGTAACTGTATATAATTAGGTTCGTTGCTAAAATTAACCGGTTATGAATCGGAACGTTATCGATTATACTCCATTCGATTGAACCGATAATCGATTGTGACAAATTGTCAACCGATATCACTTAATATTATTTCTTGCCAAATATCTAAGCTTTAGTCTTAATGGTTTTAAAGGATATATTGTTTATACGAATATAGTTTTAATAATCCGATTGTGTAATGAAACAAGTCTTTCGAATCCGTTTCCGGAACCAACCAGTACTAAGCAACCAGTATATAGTTTCTTAAATTTTGCTCTGAAAGCACGGAGATGGAACCCCATATGGAGCTCAAAATTGAGCATCGGTAAAAAGTATTTGTGAATTTCCGCTCATCCAGAGGTTTAACATCAGATGTGAATGTGTAATTAGCTATAGGTCAATCGCAGGGTCAGTTTTCAACTTTTAACACTTACAAATGTATATAAAATTCAAACCTTTGTTTTTAAAGAAAATCGAAATGTGACTCTACCCTACTGACTCTCCTCTTTATTATCCATTTTCGTATTGGAATTTTATACAGTCTTCATCGAGATATTCTTCTGTCGTGGGTTCTTGCTGGCGTGTCATAAACATGCAATGCATATGAAGAAAATGTCACTAAACGGACTCAAAATACAGTGATTTCACGAAATCCTCACCACAGACAATGTTTAAACTTTTCGAAACAAATCCTGATTTAAACAATGTATTGAGATTTGCCTACAAACGAAAGAATAAACGAGCTTCAAAATTGAATTTTGAGCCCATGTGTGCTTAGGAGGGACCCATATGTGATATAGAAACCATCTACAAAACTACGTACAAATCACTTCCATATAAACATTAATATCCAATCTAAAGGGCAACAATTAAGGTTTCGTAGCTTTGGTGAAAGTTCAGTTAGTAACATTTACTGCATGTGTTTGATCACCGGCAATAACCAGGCCTTACTTGGACTTAATGCGCATTAGAAATAAACTAAAAAGGCCCGAGACTATATAAACATGTTGGCGCAGAGCGGATGCTACTCTTTTTTAAAAATTTTTTCACTAAGAAAAAAAAGGGAAAGGGCTTGAAACGAAACTGTTATTATTAAACTTTGTAAAAATTCGTGTTTTATAAAATTTGTCTATAAAAATGATTTTATTCATTAAAATATTCATCCTTTAAAAATTCCACAAGTTTAGTGATCGCATGGTTGGGGGTTTTTTCCTTAAAGCCCTAAACTGTTAAAACAAGTAAAAATTTTTATACTGACAATAACCCACGGGGGCGATTCTAGTAAGCACACTTTTTAGAAAAAAAGGCGTTTTTACAAAAAAAGCACAGTTTTTAAGTGACTGGTTTAATGTATAACCCGTGACCGAGACAACACAAGGTAGTAAAATGTTTTTTTACTTTGTCACAGAATTTTTTTACTTGTCACATTATATTTTTAAAAAACTCCTTAATTTTACAGTTTGTATTGTATTTTAAAAAACTGTCAAATTTGAAACTCTTATGACGAAAATGTAAGTATGAAACTTAAAGGAAATGAAATTAATTGGTAGCGCAAACTTGGCAAAGCGATCTTTTCTTGTCATTAATTTTGTGTTTCAGTTGTCAAACATTAATTAGTTGCGTGGATCTTGTCAGAAGTGGTGATCGAGATTTTCAATAAAATGCTCGAAAAAATATATATTACTACAATCACGTTTGCCAAATATTACCTTCTATATTGGTCGAGGGGTTTCTATAGTTCTCTTTTATGTTGGAACTGCAAAAACACACAGAGACAGCAAAATAATTAAATAACCGAGTTAGGTTTTCACTCTACAACTGTAATTCAAATGTGCCGTGCGCATGCGTGGCGGTAAATTATGAGCGGAAAAAATGAGGCCCGTCACCAGTTACTATATAGTTAGTGTATGATATATGATTGAATGATAACTAATGAGGCTATGGGAGTAAATATGAGATGAATAGTGGATGGACAAGGAAGAATATATTTATAAGAAATGCACTATATATCATATAGGATATAATAATAGTAAAGTATATACATGTATATATAATAAAAATGACCCTGTGACACAAAGACAATCAATTGTTTGGGTATCCAGCCGTCCACCCTGCTGCTGTCAATTTATGACGTAATTTTCATTTTGCCCTAAGATATAGGAATTGCAATTGATGTTATAAATTTATAAATTCGCTTTCATGAATATTCGAATATTTTTAAAAGGTAATTTGAGAAGTTGCATTATTACATAAATAGACTTGACATTGAAAATGTGTAATATTTTCTTATCGAACTCTATTCGACCCCCCTCCCACACACACGCGCAGAAAACACACACACAAAAACAACAACAACAAAATCACTCTTGAGTTGTGACATTGCTCGAAAAATTGTTATTGTATAATAACGTGTCGGTGACAAAATTTATTGAGAAGAACGTCCCACCTACATGTATAGTCAACTTATTTATTTCGAAAGAAAATTAAAAAAATTAATGATATTATCTTAAAAGGATACTACATGTGCTTAAAATATATCTTTTTGCTACTTCCCTTTTGTACACGAGAAAGCATGTAAAACCGATTAAAATCTGAAATTTGAGTTAATTTTTGAAAAAGGTTAGATTAGAGGCATATTGTTTATAGATACAGAAACTTCAATTAACTGTATGTGTTAAAGTATTAGATTTAAATTTGCTATTAGATTTTTACATTCGGGCAAAAAAGTTAATATCTTAAACAAATATTTATCTTCATATGTCAACAAATTTACGCGTCAATATCACAGATAAAATAAAATAGTTGGAATTTATGTTCGACGTTCATTTTAACCTAGCTTATGTAAATCTAAATGACCTTAACTAAAGTTAGCGGACATGTGTACTTAGTTCTAATTAATTGTAACATATTGCACAACTCTACTTTTAGGACGGATGGATTAACTTTTAGGACGGGTGGATTAAGGCTATGATCGAGTGTTATAAAACGTGCATGGATTCGGGTATTTGGATTTTCGTTTAGATTTTAATATACTTTGTTGTCAAAATGTAAGTATTTTGGTGTGTGTTTTTTTTCTTCCTATACAAAACGGTTAATATACTGATGTTTATCTCGTTATGTTTGAATATAGACAGTAAGCATAGTATATCCCTGTTGCTCAAATATTAGTGCTCATAATTACGATGAGTGTCCTTTTCTTTAAAGCTGCATGCCTCCAGATGAGCCAAAATATTTCAAGAAAATAAAACTTGAGAAAATGTATTGAGGTTTTATGAAAAGTAAAAAGACTAAAGATAAAAGTAATAATCTCCATGTTATTTGCGATTGATGGCCAATTTTTCAGTAATTTTCACCATATTTCTACTGCGTTACTAACGCAGTAAGGGTTAATTTTGCACATTTTGACCTCTTTTTTGTAATTTACATTGGTTGTAAGTGCCTTTTGAAATGTGCATATTATTTTCTCTGTCAGCTTAATAATATTTTACTTCTGAATACATTTTCAAAATTTTCATGAACATTAGCAGGAATCTGGAGGCGTGCTGCTTAATATGCTGCGTGATATGACTTAAAAAGCTATATGTTTACATCTGAAATGATAGGTTAACAAAAAATGCAAATGTGGTTATTTAGTGGTAAACAAATAAAAAATCAAACATGTACTGGTTATTCGTTTTACTTTTTTTTAGATTTGTCAATATCAATGAATATATTAATTACATATATACTGTACTTTACTTGACTTAACATTATCATTGATTTAAATAATAATTATATTATACAATGTAAGCCTCGTGTAATCCTGATCGACCTTTTCAATCCATTTAATAGAGATGACGGGGAAAATTTGGCTAGTATGGACTAAAAACTATAAACATACATATTTATCTAAAATACAGACACATTTTTATATACATTTTTTTTTCATTTTCTAGATTTTTGGCCAATAATTTCTTTTCTCACCGTTCCTTTTTTTTACAACATTTAGCAGTGTTCACCCTAAACTGTTTTTTTTTCTTCTTCACATTTTGATATTTAAACGACGCACCGAGTTACAGTTGCCAAAATCCGAAATCCGATGCCACTGGTTGCCAACTGCCGGACGAACAAGAGATAAATGCGACAATTTTACATGCACAATTTGAGTATTTACAATATTTATGTAATTATTTGACTAATAAATCTTATTTTACGACTTGACATGTTTCTGATATAAAGTCAATTGCAATTTTTATACAAGTGCGTCGTGCTCAAAATCAAATCTGTTCAGTTCAGTTGTTGCATAACATTAACAAATTATATTTTTTTTTGCAAGACAGTGTTTTTTTTTTCAATTTTCAAAAAACCTGCAACTTTCAAAAGAGGAAAATATAGCACGATAAATCAGAAAAAGGGGAAAATCATATTCCAACATTTAGGAACACAGTTAAGTCTAAGGAAGTGGCTAGCCGTACGGGCCCGTAGGTCTAGCCATAAGTTCAAGCCGTACGTGAGTCACGTACGGCTAGCCAGGACACGCTGTATTGGCTAGTTTACACGGCACTTTTCAAAATCATATTGAAGTCGAAAATGCATCTGTTATTTTATGACTTTAAAACGAGGATTTTAACCAAGAAACAGCAATTGTCTTCGTATGTTTACTTTTTAGAGATTAATCCGTTGCCATGTTGGCTACAGTACAGTAAAGAATTAAGTATGAATATCAATCTTTGTCATCTCCAGATGGCGAGAAAAAAAGAGCGTTTAAAAATTGGTTGCAGTTGAAAAACATCAATTGAAATAGTTTACAAAATTGTGATAATAATCCTTTTTTGTTTCAATACGTTTAATTTTGAGCACCTTTAAAAAATTAAAAAAGCACCGAAAATAATTGTTGTCGGGCTCTGATAATTGCGTCAATTACCGACTATCATTAGGGAAAGTTTGCATGTTCCGTGAAACGCATTCAAAAATTTGGATAGACTTTAATTAACGCTAATTGATTGTGCCTTCTACTGTATTGAAAAAAATAAAATTATTTTCGCTTTCAACGTTGATTATTTTTCAATGTTCTTTATTTATTTATTCCTCTCCGATCATGTCGTTATGAAAACGCTTCATTTGCCGTGATTATTATATATTCGATTCATGTGCATAATTAACAAATAAAAAATAGATTTAATAATTCATCTTTCATACAAATAAAACAACAAATCATAATTATGAAAAACAACGACGCTACATAACTTATAACATGCAACTTTGACACTTTTATCAAGATTACAACGCTTGTAGATCTATTTACCTTCGTATTCATTTTTTTACAAAATGGCGGAGCATCTTTATTAAACAGTTAAAGTGAACACACGAGGACAAATGCGGGGACTTGGTTAAAATCCTCGTTTAAAGACACAAATAACATATGCATTTTCGACTCTCATATAATTTTGAAAAGTGCCCTACGGCTAGACAATACAGTGTGTCAGATTATCTACTGTTCACAAAGGTGCTAGAAAAAGCTGTCTTAGGGGGTTTTGCGGCATAAATATAATTTATAAATGCATAATTTATCTTGATTGGTTTGTGGTTTAACATTTACTTAAAAAGACATTTTTAATATATTACAAACTTCATTTTTTTTTTCAGAAGATTTTGCATAAATAAATAATAATGGGTAGAGGTGGCCAAGGATCTCAGAAGCCTAAACTTCCCTGGAGTGAGATTGAACGTCACAATAGCAGGGATGACAGATGGATTGTGATTGGAGGAGAGGTGTATGATGTCACTTCCTGGTCATACAAACATCCAGGTGGTTCTAGACTTATTGGACATTATGCTGGCCAAGATGCAACTGTAAGTTTTAAACAGGGAGATAACTTTGTTGTTGTTTGGGTTTTATGTTGCACCACAGTGTAGGTCATATTGGGACTTCCCAGCTTTATTGTTGGAGGAAGACCTCAGGTGCCCTTCTGCGTATTATTTCAGGCATGAACAGGCACCTGAAAAGAACCATAAGCTAGCTATATAGTTTCTTCACATGAAAGAATCCTTAGTTCCTGTCAGGATTCGAACCCACACAGCGGTGAGGGGCAAGTTGTTTGAAGTCAAGAGCATTTACTACTGAACCACAGATAAAATTGATAAAATGTTTATGTATAATATACATATGAATGAATTTTTAAGTTGATACACACAGGGTCATCATGAACCTGGTGTTGAAATAAGGTCAGCATGAACCTGGTGTTGATATAGGGTCACCTTGAACCTAGTGTTGATACAGGGTCATCATGAACCTGGTGGTGATACAGGGTCATCATGAACCTGGTGTTGATACAGGGTCATCATGAACCTGGTGTTGATACAGGGTCGTCTTGAACCCAGGGTTTGACACTTACTTTTTATGCCCCCACAATGTGGGAGCATATAGCATTGCACTTGTCCGTCCGTCAATACGTCAGTCCGTCCGTCCGTCAGTCCGTCCGTCCGTACGTCCCGAAATCTTGTGAACGCAACTCCTCTTAAACCGGATGGCAGATTTTTGCTTAACTTACAGGGATGAACAACCTTAATGTGTAGATGGTAGTAAAGGAAGGAATTTTTTGCTGCGACCAAATTTAACAGAATTATGGCCCTTTGTTCATTTTTTCACTAGATACTATGTAGAAATTTTGTGAACGCAACTCCTCTTAAACTGGATGGCAGAATTTGCTTAAACTTACAGGGATGAACAACCTTTATGTGTAGATGGTAGTAAAGGAAGGATTTTTTGCTGCGACCAAATTTAACAGAATTTATGGCCCTTTGTTGATTTTTTCACTATATACTATGTAGAAATTTTTGTGAACGCAACTCCTCTTAAACCGGATGGCAGATTTTTGCTTAACTTACAGGGATGAACAACCTTAATGTGTAGATGGTAGTAAAGGAAGGAATTTTTGCTAAGACCAAATTTAACAGAATTATGGCCCTTTGTTCATTTTTTCACTAGATACTATGTAGAAAATTTTGTGAACGCAACTCCTCTTAAACTGGATGGCAGAATTTTGCTTAAACTTACAGGGATGAACAACCTTTATGTGTAGATGGAAGTAAAGGAAGGATTTTTTTTGCTGCGACCAAATTTAACAGAATTATGGCCCTTTGTTGATTTTTTCACTATATACTATGTAGAAATTTTGTGAACGCAACTCCTCTTAAACCGGATGGCAGATTTTGCTTAAACTTACAGGGATGAACAACCTTCAGGTGTAGATGGTAGTAAAGGAAGGAATTTTTCGCTTGCGACCAAATTTTACAGATTTATGGCCCTTTGTTGATTTTTTCACTATATACTATCTAGAAATTTTGTGAATGCAACTCCTCTTAAACCGGATAGCAGATTTTGCTTAAACTTCCAGGACTGAACAACCTTAATGTGTAGATGGTAATAAAGAAAGGAATTTTTGCTGCAACCAAATTTAACAGAATTATGGCCCTTTTTTGATTGTTTCATTATATACTATGTTTAAATTTTGTGAATGCAACTCCTTTTAAACCGGATGGCAGATTTTGCTTAAACTTCCAGGGATTAACAACCTTAATGTGTAGATGGTAGTAAAGGAAGGAATTTTTGCTGCGACCAAATTTAACAGAATTATGGCCCTTTGTTGATTTTTAGTTTTCAACTTGTGGCACATGTAGTCCAAAAAATATTTGACCTAGAGTCATAAGATTGACAGAACAGTGGCGTGTGGGGGCATCCGTGTCCTATGGACACATTTCTAGTTAAACTAGGAATCATTACGGGACATCAACTTTGAAATCAGAAATCCCTTGCTAAAATAAGAAGTCCCTCAAAATGTAATTATATTAATGGGGTGGGAGATTATTTATGACTAATGAAAATCTAAGGGAGGGGACATTTTTGAAATGCAATATATTTATCGAGTGAGGCATAATACCAGGTAATAAATGCTTGATTTTTGTAAGCATTACTTTTTAATTTCAGTTTTAGCTTAAGAAAGGTGAAAATGTGTGTTGACAATTGACAAAAAATTCATAGTCATTATGTTTCTCTTCAAAGTTCAGGAGTCCCAACGGAACTTATGACTTCGAAGTTAAGAAATCCCTTGCCAATTTTTGGTGTCCCCGGGATCACGGGACTGTGTTAGTGTCGAACCCTGCTTGAACCTAGTGTTGATACAGGGTCATTATGAACCTGGTGTTGATGTAGGGTCATCTTGAACCTAGTGTTGATACAGGGTTATCATGAACCTAGTGTTCATACAGGGTCATCATGAACCTGGTGTTGATATAGGGTCATCATGAGCCTGGTGTTGATACAGGGTCATCATGAACCTGGTGTTGATACAGGGTCATCATGAACCTGGTGTTGATACAGGGTCATCATGAACCTGGTGTTGATACAGGGTCATCATGAACCTGGTGTAGATACAGGGTCATCATGAACCTGGTGTTGATACAGGATCATCATGAACCTAGTGTTGATACAGGGTCATCATGAAACTAGTGTTGATACAGGGTCATCATGAACCTGGTGTTGATACAGGGTCATCATGAACCTGGTGTTGATACAGGGTCATCATGAACCTGGTGTTGATACAGGGTCATCATGAACCTGGTGTTGATACAGGGTCATCATGAACCTGGTGTTGATACAGGGTCATCATGAACCTGGTGTTGATACAGGGTCATCATGAACCTAGTGTTGATACAGGTCATCATGAACCTGGTGTTGATACAGGATCATCATGAAACTAGTGTTGATACAGGGTCATCATGAAACTAGTGTTGATACAGGGTCATCATGAACCTGGTGTTGATACAGGGTCGTCTTGAACCTGGTGTTGATACACACAGGGTCATCATGAACCTGGTGTTGATACAGGATCATCATGAACCTAGTGTTGATACAGGGTCATCATGAAACTAGTGTTGATACAGGGTCATCATGAACCTGGTGTTGATACAGGGTCGTCTTGAACCTGGTGTTGATACACACAGGGTCATCATGAACCTGGTGTTGATACAGGGTCATCATGAACCTGGTGTTGATACAGGGTCATCATGAACCTAGTGTTGATACAGGGTCATCATGAACCTGGTGTTGATATAGGGTCGTCTTGAACCTGGTGTTGATACAGGTCCATCATGAACCTAGTGTTGATACAGGGTCATCATGAACCTAGTGTTGATACAGGGTCATTATGAACCTGGTGTACAGGGTCATCATGAACCTGGTGTTGATACAGGGTCATCATGAACCTGGTGTTGATACAGGGTCATCATGAACCTGGTGTTGATACAGGGTCATCATGAACCTGGTGTTGATACAGGATCATCATGAACCTAGTGTTGATACAGGGTCATCATGAAACTAGTGTTGATACAGGGTCATCATGAACCTAGTGTTGATGTAGGGTCATCACGAACCTAGTATTGATATAGGATCATCATGAACCTAGTGTTGATACAGGGTCATCATGAAACTAGTGTTGATACAGGGTCATCATGAACCTAGTGTTGATGTAGGGTCATCACGAACCTAGTGTTGATATAGGATCATCATGAACCTAGTGTTGATACAGGGTCATCATGAAACTAGTGTTGATACAGGGTCATCATGAACCTGGTGTTGATACAGGGTCATCATGAACCTAGTGTTGATATAGGATCATCATGAACCTAGTGTTGATACAGGGTCATCATGAAACTAAGTGTTGATACAGGGTCATCATGAACCTAGTGTTGATGTAGGGTCATCAAGAACCAAGTGTTGAGATAAGGTCAGCATGAACCTTATGTGGATATTGGGTCATGAACCTAGTGTTGATACAGGCTCATCATGAACTTAGTGTTGATACAAAGTCATCATGAACTTAGTGTTGATATAAGGTCAGCATGAACCTTATATTGATGTAGGGTCATCATGAACCTTATGATTATCATCATAAACCTAGTGTTGAAATTGGGTCATCATGAACCTGATGTTGATTTCAAGTCATTATGAAAATGCGACTATGGTTGTAGGTCACTGCAAGGCAATTTTTTTTAACATGGAAAATGGATAAAAAATTATTATGTGATAGCAATTTAATTTCAATAATAAATTCTTTGATATTTTACCAGGAAGCAGTTGGTGCATTTCACAATAACGAGACACAGGTGAACAAATACCTTAAATCTATGCACATTGGTACTGTAGAAAACAATGTAGAACTTGATATTGCCACAGACTTCAGAAAACTGAAAGAGGTTGCAAAATCTATGGTAAGTTTTCGCTTTTAAATAAATAACACTTTATTTTTTCGCTTTTAGATAAATAACACTTTATTAAAAAAAAGAAGAAAAACTGCCTTGAAAATAATTAATAGTATCATTTAGGACATTAGTTTTAGCTTTATATCAAAATGTTTTACAGTTTATACAGAATTTATGTAAAGTTGTGTAGAAAGCTATAAGTTTATTGAAACACTCCAATCTGTTTCTTGAACTAACCAGTTCCAGGCAATGAGCATCAAGTTTCTTGCTAACAGAAACAATAGCTTATCCTGATGGCGTTTGAACTTACATATCCAGGGATCATTAAATTACAAGTCTGATGCATTAACCACCTGGCCAAACTAAAAATATTTTGAGAACTCGTCTTCAGATATTTGCATTGCCAACGGTATAACACTTGGTTCTGGTTTTGCTTATTTCCTATTTACTGTCAAAGGTACATGTGTATTAATCTTAATTTTCATGCATGTCTTTTGGACAATGATTGTGGGTCAAACATATACAAAGGTCCATAATTCAAGCTTAATTTTTTTCTCAATTATTAGATACTATTTGTGAACTTTAGTAATATCTCCTTGGTGCTTATTGTAGTATTATGTATTAAAGCAGCTCAATGTCAGTGTGACAATCCATGTTTAATCAGTATATCAGAAAGGTAGGTCACATGATCGCAAGTCCCTTTAACTGCTTTTTTATTGGTTAATTTAATTTTATAATGGAAATACCTTGTTTAATATGTATGTAACTGAAAGTTTCATCATAAATTATGTGTTGGTATGTGTATATGTTTATATGTCAATTTTTCAGGGGTTGTATGAACCAAGCTACACGTTTTATGCAGCAATATTGGGACATATTGTGTTATTGATAGTTCTGGCATATTTTGTGTTACAATGGTTCGGTGTAACATGGTGGAGTGTGGCTCTCTCCCTCATTCTGTTTTCAACTGCCCAGGTAATTAATCTTTTGTTTCTTATTTTAGTTTAAAGACCCATGAAGCCTAACAAAAAGAATACAAAGTTCTTATTTAGGAATTGCAATGTGTTAAATGTTTGAATCATAGATTTAGACTTAAAGGGACTCCATTGTGGTTTTTTGACATGAAGGGACGGGAAAAATTATTTCAAGACTTGTGTACCATTTTATGTAGGTCTATACTAATAACTTTTGGTAATGAAACCATGAATCATTTTTCAGGAATATTTCAAAATACACTGTAGCCTCCATTTATCATACAACTGCTATGGTAACTGCCCGATAAAACTTGCCTGATAATTATTTTTGATATCAGGTCAGTAACCTGATATCAAAAATAGGCCCCGCCAATTTTAACAGACTTTTTTCAATTGCTTATATGTATACAGGTATTCTCATTTTCATCAGCATGTGAATTCCACAATGTAATCTCATACCCTTACAATTCTTGAATCAATATGCGATTTTTACTCATTTATTTTTTCGATTTCAATTTCAATTACGAATAAATTAGATAGCAAATAGTTAAGCACCAACTTAATGAAGTGACGTCATAATTTATATTGCAAATGACATCATCGATGTCCACGTCACACAGTCATGTAAACATAACAAACAGACTAGACGATTTTCTTTGAGAACTTGTAAATGTTTACTTTATTTCTCCGGATTATTCTTTAATAAGTGAATAAATTGTTTCGTTCAAAAAATAAGAGGCATGTGTGTGTAGCTTGTGTTTGATTGCCAATTTGACTTTTCTTTGATTGAAATTATCGTGAACTTTTGAATTTGACAATTCAAGACAAAAATTGCAGTAAAGTTTAGTTTATGTGATTCTAAGTGGATTTTTGGATCGATGTTTAAATTAATGGTAAGAATTTTATCGTATAAGGCCTACATTCTGTTGTATCTTTTATCCGAGTGGAAAGAAAAAATGGCCGCCATTTACAAATTCTAAGTTTCAGGGGCGGAGGAATTTGTTTTCAAGAATTATTTCTTTGAACAAAAATCCCCCTTTTTAACGAAATTTGCTATTTAAAAGTAGATTATTTTGTTATTTTGACAGTTATTATGTGTTACATGATAAATAGAAAAACATGCTACTGTCTTTTGATATCAATTTTATCAGGCTCGGCTGATATGGGCAGAAAGGGCAAGCCTCGCCCTTTCTAGCCCATATCAGCCTCGCCTGATAAAATTGATATCAAAAGACAGTAGCATGTTATTCTCTATATATTGTTCTCCGTTATAATGCTAATCTCAGTATAGCGCTCATAGACCTTGGCTCCCAACCCCCCCCCCCCCCCCCCCCCCCCAAAAAAAAAAAAAAAATTAAGTAAATCTAGATTTAAAGCGTGTTATAGCGCTTGTTCAATTTGACAGTCAAGTACAATAAACAATTGTAATTAGGACATTTATGAGTGCCAAAGGTGGGAAAAACATGCCCAGGTTAGCGTTTATCCGCTCTTCTGTTGTTTTACCTGTCCATCAGTCGGGCATCAAATTGTTTCCAAAATCTCAAATTCATATCATAACTGTGACATGGACAACCGGTGGTGAGTATAAATAAACTAAAATTCACATACATATCTGTGAAATGCAAACCTCGCTGAATTAATAACCCACACAAGCCCAAAATCAATTTAAAATCCTGCACTGTAAATAGAACGGCCCAGACAGGAAGTAAATGGCATTTGATTAACTAGGGGACACAACTAAAGCTGGACTAATGGCTAACTACATTCATGTTTTTTGTTTTTCTTTCAAAAGTTTTTTGTTTCTTTTAATTTTAATAAGTATTATTTGTGAATATAATATATGTTTACATCATTGAATTGTTTTAGAAAAAGATAATGTGGATATTCATTAACAGTAAGTAAAAATCGTCAGCGTTATATGTATAGGCGGTGGGTGGGGTAATGCGGTAATTTCCCAATGAGCGTTCTAATGAGAGCCTTGTTAGAACGAGGTGTTGAGACATTGGACCCCAACATGAGTGTTATAATGAGGCTGTAGTGTATGTACCGACTGAATAGTAAACCGCTGAGTGCAGACCATGATCAGACATCACATGTATTGCATGGGTAGAATCTGTTAAATAAATAACGTATTTGATATTGGGAAGTACAATTTGCTGACACAGGTTCTAGTTTTCCTAGCTACAATATGTATAGACTACATGTGTATATTTAAAAGGAACATAATTTAAATAAACAAATGTATATATACCAAATGTATATATACCTATCAATAAAATTTCCATTGTCATTTGGTATTTGGCAGCGTAATCCGATAACAGCAAAACAATTGCAACTTTTGGGACAAGATCAACAGTAGAAAATGGAAACAATGCATGGAAATACTGAAAAAATACCTATGTAATGAAAAAATGTACAATAAAAAAATGAACAGAATAGCCCTTGACCATATTAATCTTTGTCTGACTTTCTTATTCGTAGACCTCACCGATCGCCTACTTTCATATTAAATAATTTTTTATGCCCCCACAATGTGGGAGCATATAGCGTTGCACTTGTCCGTCAGTCCGTCCGTCCGTACGTCCCGAAATCTTGTGAACACAACTCCTCTTAAACCAGATGGCAGATTTTGCTTAAACTTACAGGGATGAACAACTTTAATGTGTAGATGGTAGTAAAGGAAGGAATTTTCGCTGCGACCAAATTTAACAGAATTTATAATGGCCCTTTGTTGATTTTTTCACTAGATACTATATAGAAATGTTGTGAACGCAACTCCTCTTTAACCGGATGGCAGATTTTGCTTAAACTTACAGGGATGAACAACCTTAATGTGTAGATGGTAGTAAAGAAAGGAATTTTTGCTGCAACCAAATTTAACAGAATTATGGCCCTTTGTTGATTTTTTCATTATATACTGTGTAGAAATTTTGTGAACGCAACTCCTCTTAAACCGGATAGCAGATTTTGCTTAAACTTACAGGGATTAACAACCTTAATGTGTAGATGGTAGTAAAGGAAGGAATTTTTGCTGCAACCAAATTTAACAGAATTATTGCCCTTTGTTGATTTTTAGTTTTCAAAATGTGGCACATGTAGTCCAAAAAATATTTGACCTAGAGTCATAAGATTGACAGAACAGTGGCGTGTGGGGGCATCGGTGTCCTATGGACACATTTCTAGTTTATTTCTTTTATTACATTACTAGGCTCAGGCAGCATGGACACAGCATGACTATGGTCATTTATCTGTTTTCAAGAATTCCAAGATAGATCATTTCTTTCATCATCTTACAATGGGATGTATCAAGGTAAAAATATATACAGTAAAACCTGTGTAGAGCAACAATCTTTGAGAGACATAGGGTTTGGTTGTTGTAGAGAAGTTGTTGTTTTTGAGGGGTTAAATATACATGTAGTTAAAAATCTTAGTATGGGAAGATGTGATTTAGTTGTTGTAAAGAGGTAATTGCTTTACAAAGGGCTGCTCTGCAGAGGTAACACTGACATCAATGTTTTTAGTCCCCTACCGGTTTAACCGGAGGGGACTTTAGGTTTACCCTCCGTCCGTCTGTCTGTCCGTCTGTCAGTCCGTCAGTCCGTCCGTCCACAAAACTGGATCCCGCGATAACGCAAAAAGTACTGAAAATATATTTATGAAACTTGATATATGGATAGATGGCAGTATAGAGATTATGCACGTCTTTTTTTTTTCTTCCTATGTTGAAAATTCTGGTTGCTATGGCAACAAATAGTCTGAAAATATGGCAAATTTAACACATAAACTGGATCCAGTGATAACTCAAAAAGTACTGAAAATATTTTTATGAAACTTGAAATATGGGTAGATGGCAGTCTGGAGATTATGCACATCTTTTTCTTTTCTTCCTATGTTGAAAATTCTGGTTGCTATGGCAACAAATAGCCTGAATTTCAAGATTTCTGATTTAAATTTTTCAGCTTTTTCACTATATGTTCTTTATTTCTTAAGGTGTTTACTTCAAACTTTAAATATAAGTTTCTGGTCATCAACCACATCATATGTGACAAGGTTTATAACTCTAGCACAAAAATATCAGTATTACCTCCCTTGAACTTAGATTTTTTAGGGGAAAAAATCTTGTCTTTTTTAAATAACTTCTTTATTTCCTAATGTATCTACTTCAAACTTCATATATATGTTTCTTATTATCACTCGACATTTTTGAGAAGGTTAAATACTCTAGCAAGACTATTTCCAGAATTATGTCCCCCTTGAACTTAGATTTTTTTCGAGAAACTGGTATTTTCACTCCAACTTCTTCATTCCTTATAGGATTTACTTTAAAATCCCACATCGTAATAATATGACAAGGTTGTATAAACATAATTTCCTTACTAAGCATGGAAACTTAACACATTACTGTGATATAGACAAACTTATTTTATTATGTTTTGTGGTCGATATTTTCAAATACAGACTTCATCCTCAAATTCATTATAAATGGCAATACACAGGAGTGTATGACAATTAAAGAACTTTTTGAGGGACCGGTAGGGGACTACTGTATTGCCCGCAATACTATCAAATGCTTGTTATTCAGTGACATGTATAACAGAAGTCAAATTTTGGTAGTTTTCCCAAATGACAAAATTGATGAAAAATTTCCAGTTAAATTAATGATAAATACTTATTCTATGTCAAAATACTGCAATTAAATCTGATATTTTCCCAAATAGATCTAGGATTTTTTTTTAGTAAATTGTAATATTCCCAAAAGTAATGAAGAATCTTTTTCAACTCTTTGACCTTTAATAGTTTATGAAGATTTTTCTCAAGTACCTGTTTCTTTAATGTAGATTTTATTCCTTTTTCCTAATTTTCAAAGATTACCAACTATCCACACTAAATTAATTCTTTTGATAACAGGGTGCTTCAGCACATTGGTGGAACCACATGCATTATCAGCATCATGCTAAACCAAATATTGTAAGTATTTTATGTTATATTGTAAATAAATCAGTGTTTTATTTTTTATAAATATATTGAATTTTTTTTTTTAGTTAAACATTTAACATTGTAAATTTATTTTGCAATACGGTTAGTTCGTCATTTTTTCATCTATTGAACTAATACCTGGTAACTTAAACAGGAAACTTATTTCTATATGAATGTCAAAATGCTGACTTTTGAGTGAAGTTGTTCTGATAATTTTTTAATGTAAAAATGTTTAGGTAACTTTTTATCGTTCAGAGTATGTTTTATATGGGAAATTTCAACCAATACGGTAGTATTTAAAATAAAGGTATTTTGCCTAATGTTATAATTTCGTGAATTTATAACAAATATTGTGATTTCTTATTCTCTTAATAGATTGACAAAGATCCAGATGTGAGAATTGACAAGTTGTTTGTAGTTGGGGAAGTTATGCCAGTAGAGGTACTAAGTCACATATTTTAGAATCAAGTTTGTAAACCAGTCTACAAATAAACATAGACCATTGGTCAATTTTGAATAAGTGTTCTGCATGAACCAATCATATTGTACAATTTAGACTGGTTTAAATTTTCAAATATTTCTTTGTGTTCTTTTGAACTTTTTATGTATTTGAAATGTTTTTAATAAATTTTATTCAAGCAATACATACACATACAGATATATGAAGTATCCAAAAGTGAATAATTTTAGTTTTATTCTAGTAAAATAAACTGAAATGGTTTTTTCCCCCCAATTCTTAAGGATCTTGAAAATTTTACAAGAATACAAACTTCTGTGTTTGAAAGGCTAACTATATGTACATAATGACTGCAAATGTCGTTTTTATGCTTTCTTTCATTTTTCGCATACCGTCTACCTTTTCTTGCAAAGTTATTATATATCATCACAGGCATGCTTTTTGCATGCCCTTTGAAAAGAAATTTAAGAGACCAAAGGGATTAGAATTAACCTCTTTGTGATTTCCATCTACAGAGCTACAGAGAAGTAGCTAAAATATCGAATTTTCAAGTAAAAGTAACCCTATTGTTTTTTGAAGCCAATTCAACTGAAATGTTCAGTATAATTAAGGCTGGCTGTAAACACACTTTTATGTAACTATGAATTTTATATGCCAATTATTTTTAGCTCGACTATTCGAAGAATATGAGAGCTATTGTAGTCGCCCCGGCGTCGGCGTCAGCGTCAGCGTCCGCGTCGGCGTCTGCGTTGGTTAAAGTTTTTTGTAAAGTCAAATATCTCAATTATTACTTGAGATATTCAATTGAAACTTACAATACTTATTTATAGTAACAAGGTACATCAGATTGACAAGTTGGATAACTCTGCCTACAATATTGACAGAATTATGCCCCTTTTTAACTTAGAAATTTTGGTTAAAGTTTTTTGTAAAGTCAAATATCTCAATTATTGCTTGAGATATTCAATTGAAACTTACAATACTTATTTATAGTAACAAGGTACATTAGATTGACAAGTTGGATAACTCTGCCTACAATATTGACAGAATTATGCCCCTTTTTAACTTAGAAATTTTGGTTAAAGTTTTTTGTAAAGTCAAATATCTCAATTATTGCTTGAGATATTCAATTGAAACTTACAATACTTATTTATAGTAACAAGGTACATCAGATTGACAAGTTGGATAACTCTGCCTACAATATTGACAGAATTATGCCCCTTTGTAACTTAAAAGTTTTGGTTAAAGTTTTTTTGTAAAGTGAAATATCTCAATTATTGCTTGAGATATTCAATTGAAATTTAAAATACTTTTTTATAGTAACAATGTACATCAGTTTGCAAAATTGCATAACTCTGCCTGCAATATTTGCAGAATTATTTGCCCCTTTGAATTTTAGAAATTTTGGTTAAAGGTCTTCAAAGATATTTACTTGAAACTTTACACATGCACTTAGGGTCATAATTGGAGGGTCATAATTGTATGTACGCTCCCTTCGTCACTGATCAAGTTCCATAACTCTGTCTTGCATTAAGGCTGATTCATATCCCCTTTTCTACTTAGTCTCTTGGTTAATGTTTACATGCAAGTTTTACATATCTCAATAACTATTAAAGATATTAATTTAAAACTTCATATAAGCATTTAGGGTCACTGACAAAGATCCATAATTCTATCTTGCATTAATTTTAGGCTGATTTTTCTCCCCTTTTTCAACTTAGAAATTCATGGTAAAGTTTTGCTTGTAAGCTGTTATCTCAATAACTACTGAAGGGTTTGTGCCTTTTTTGGGACAATTTATGCATTCATAATAATAAAGCAGTGATTTACTTGATAAAACATCTTAATAACAAGCCTTTGTACCTTTTCTGTCAAATTTATGTATTCATAGGTAATTAGTATTATTATACTCAATAAAACACCCTTGTGACATTACCTTCCAAATAGTCAAGCCAATACTGTATAATTAGACTCTCTCTAAGGCCTATAACATGAATTTATAACAAAAAATTAGCCCTTTTGTGAACTTAAAAAATTAAACAATATAAAGGCTCTTTTACTATCAAGCACTTAGAATAGTCGAGCGTGCTGTCCTACAGACAGCTCTTGTTATTGAGACATGTATCTTTTAATCTTAAAGGTAGCAAAGACAAGGAAGAAGAGCATGCCCTTTAATTGGCAGCATAGGTACTTCTTTGCTTGTAAGTATGATAATAATGATTTTGTGAAATATTGTTAATAAGTTCAGACCTCCCCGTATGAGACACTGTGTCATCATGTCCATAGATTTGATATAAATCTGTGATCCACATAGAAATATTTCATAGCCATAGATAGTATAAAACATATAGATAGGATATAAATCTGTTAATCTCATTGAATTTCCTTATATTCATAGACTGGATAAAACTTCAATCGAATCTATGGAAGTGAAAACATCTTGAGTGACTCACACAATTATAAACAATCTATGGACATGAGAACATGAATAGATTGTTAATACTTCTGACTGTGAACCAATTGTGAAAGAAAAAAATCCTTTCAGAATGAGAGTGCTTTTACTCACGAGAATGAATTTCTAGTAAGATAATGATTAATTAAGAACCCTATTGAAGAACTAAGCTTTTTCAGAATAAGTACAGATCAATTTAAAGTAGGTCATGAACAACAAGGGAGAGAATTCAAGTCACAACTTTTCGAATATTGTATACAGTTACATACCTTTGTACAAAATTAAAACATTTTGTATGTTAACTTTACTTGAAAAAATATAAGTGGTTTTTCTAGCATAATAAATTCTGCTAACTTTTTGCACACAAGAAAACTGAAAATTCAAGATAAAATTTTTATTAAATATTATAATGAATAAATAATAAGTAATTTTTATTGAATATATTGTTACTACAGTGGGACCACCATTGCTGTTTCCAGTGTATTTCCAGTCCATGTTGTTCAGACATTTGTTCACTAGGAAATTATGGATGGTAAGAAAGTATTTTCTTCATCACTAGCATAATTTAGTTTATGGAGCATTCTCCATGACATTTTCTGATGCTAGAAAACTAAAAATCTTGAAAATCAAATCAAATTTTCTTACTCTTTCATAGGTTCAAGTTCAATTGGGTACAAATCTTTATTTTTGTCACTGTCAGTTAAAGAAGTTGTATCTTGTCACAAGTTTATTATGATATTTTGTAAAACTGAATAACAATGCATTTACTACATTGCGATTTGAAATTAAAGAATAGTTAACAGATCTTAAAGGCCCATTATGCCACAGATATGCCATAATTTTTATTTTTCAAAAACGTTTTATTTTTGGTATCTTCTCACAGTTTAAAAAAGTTTTTTTCTAGTTTGTCAAAGTGATTAACTATCTTTTACTTCTTTTGACAATTGATGTAATTATAGTAAATTAGTATTTTGTATGGAGGTCAAAAAACTATTTTGTTTACATTTTGCTATCTCTCGGACACATTGCTGCACTTTCAGTGCTATTTTCTTCAGTTGCTAAACATCTTACATCCTCTTAATCCATTATTTAAACATTATTAAACACATATTTCACATATGTAAAGAATGAAAAAAAAAAAGGATTTCTAAGGCATAATGGGCCTTTAATTAAGCAAAATATAATATTCATTAATTTTTTAATGTTTTTGCAGGAGTTGTCAATAGCAGTCACTGCCATGGCTTGTTTCTTCTATTTCTTTATTCCAATGTTGGGTGTAGCTGGAAGTATTGGATTCTTCTTTGCAGTCAGGTAGCAGCTCTTATACATCTTTCTGTTCTAAGAAATAATTTTCATAGGAAAACCAGGAAGCATACTTTCAACTAATTGAACTATTTTTTTTAAAAAAAGCAAAGAACAAAACAAAACAAAAAAAACAAAACTTTAGAAAAATGCATTAACCCATTACTTCATGAGCATTTTGTGAAAAATGGATGTTTTTATTGAAAAGGCTCCCGTTACAAGTTCAAATTGCTATAAAACTATAAAAACTGCTTCAATACTAATCAAATTTGGCACAAATGTTGACTGGACCATTGCCTTTGTAACAACGTGCCCAGGCTTAAATTTCCTGTTACCATGGCAACGAGGGGACATCTCAAATTTGCCAAAAATCACTATTTTGCGTTGATTTTTCCATCAAAATTGACTTTTCAGCGTTGGTTACACGTTACCTTATGATCGATCTGGGATCATTTTTAGCCTCTTCACAAGTAAAAATTTTTTCTTGGGCCCGGCCCTTTTTGGCAACCCCTGATAATTTTTTTTGGGTTGGGGGCGCGCCGAAAAAAAGGTAACTTTTTTTAAAAAAAACCCTTTTTTCCTCAACAAAAAAAAGTTTTTGGGGGCCTAAAAAAGGGGCTTTTTTAAACCATTTGAGCCCAAAAAAAGGGGGGGGGGGCGTAAAAAAGGTTTTAAAAAAGGCGTGAAAAATATGGGGAAAAGGGGGGCCCTAAAAGGTAAAATTTTAAAATGTAAATAGAAATAACTTTAATGAAAATTTTTGGGATCCCCTTTAAATTAAATTTTACAAACCAAATACATTATTTTTTTTCCCAATACCCCAAAAAAAAGGTGTCAAAGTTTTAAATTCCCAAATTTTAATTTCAAAAATTTAAACATATTAGGCTCCATTAAATACTATTCAACTGTCTCCTCTAGGTTTATTCATGAAATCAGCATTCTATATTCACATTTATCATTGTGCTTTTTAACAGTTTCACTGAAATAAAATACTTTAAGAACCATTCCAGTATAATTTAGAACAGATAGTTTCCAACTTCACAAAATTTTCAAAATAACCATCTCAACAATTTGTTGTTTTTTTCAGGTGTATTGAAAGTCACTGGTTCACGTGGGTAGCCCAGTCTAACCATCTACCAATGCATATAAAGAATGACGAAGCTAATCCTTGGTTAAAGCTACAGATTCATGCCACGTGTGATATCGAGAAGTCATTCTTCAATGATTGGTTCACGGGACATCTGAACTTTCAGATTGAACACCAGTGAGTGAAATGCTAGCTTATTCCTAGTATTCTGTTTTAAATTGTCTTTAATAAACAAATAAAGGAATTGTCTTTAATAAACAAATAAAGGATAAATGATTAGAAATTTTCGGACAGAATACTTATGTTTTGAACTTCACATTCATTACTAGGCATGATTACATATCTTTATCATAGATTTTAACATGATTTTGCCTCTTTTATGTCATATAAGAGATTTCTTTGTTTATCCAGTATTGTTAAAAGTTAGGTATGCTCTTGCATAAACAGCTCTTGTTAGGTGATAGGCTACTAAAAATATAGCATACTGCTATACTGTTAATATAAATTTGAAATATCTAATGATATTTTCAGTTTGTTCCCCACGATGCCCCGTCACAACTTGTACAAGATCGCTCCGTTGGTTCGAAGTCTGTGTGAGAAGCATGGTGTACCCTACACAGTGAAATCGCTGTGGCAGTCCTTTGTGGATATTGTAAGGTATGTTGATCTTATAACAATTATTCACTGAATTTATTGTCATGGAACAACTTGTCAACCGCTCCAAGCTAAGGTGTTCCACTTGCCCCTCACCGCTGTTGGTTCGAATCCAGGCAGGGACTTTGGTTTTTTTCATGTGAGGAAGCTATCCAGCTAAGTTAACTCCTTTGTATCTGAAATAATGCATGGAAGGGCAGCTGAGATGTTCCTCCACCTGTAAAGCTGGAAAGTGGCCATATGACCTTTACTGTGTAAATGCAACATAAAATCCCATCAAACAAACCAATCTTAAGATGTTAAATGATTTTATTCTTAGAAACAAAATCTTTCATTCTAGTGTAAACATAAGTCTTTTTTTTACTCCATGTAAAAGATATATGCAAGGCATATTACGCATCTCTTTCCCAAAATGATTTAATTAAGGCATATGTCATTATCTTAAAAACAATTAATCTTCTTACATGCTGATTATTTGATTTATTTCAGGGCGTTGAAGTCATCTGGTGAACTTTGGGAAGAGACGTACAGGGAATTCCATAGTGACTGATTGCTTTATTTTTACTATTATCTTAATAGTCTTTCAAACCTTTTTCTTATCTTTACACTCTCGCCAATAATTTTCCCCATAGATGGACCGTCCCTGCTTTGAATATCTGGATCAGTCTGTATGAGCCTGTTGGATTCTGCTTTGGATCAATTAGATAAAGCATTAAACAGAATACAGTCGACAATAAAAATAACTGAGACACATTCAGCAGTATTTAGACACAGTCTTCAATAATGTTAATTAAAACAGAGTGACACAGTCCACAATAATAACAACTTTGACACAGTCCACTATTGTTAATTTAGACACAGTCTGCAATAATGTTTAATTTTGTGCCAAGTTGCCATTTCAATTATTGTTATTCTGAAACAAAGTTAAAGGGTCAAACATCTAAAGTGTAGTAATTTTGGAAAGCTATTTATAAAAAGAATGGTAGCAATAATTGCACTTAAGAGTTGGATGTTTATAGATGTCTTGTTAGTATTGGTGCATAATTTATTTTACCCTTTAACTAGTAAATTTGCATGTAATGAACCAACCATGCTTTGAATTTGGAACTTCTCATTTTAAGTATCAGGCGGGTTCCAATTAAAAAAAAAATATTAAAAAAATAGGATTTAAAAGTCAACTGTAAGGAGTCCCAGTCAGATTGTAATTTTACAGGCTTACCTGATTTTATACTGTTGACATAGTCAAGTAATTTTCCCTGGTAGAAATAAAAAAAAACATTAAGCCAGTCTGATTAAAAAATATTGGTTAAAATTGTAGAATAATGTTTTCAAAAATTAATCAAATGATCAAATTTAGAATATTATTCTGAAAAAATTAAGTAAAACAATCAAATACACAAGGATTGCCAAGGTTTGTTAATTTTCACTCTTTGTTACTGATCACTTGAAAAAAATTTACGAAAACTTTTAAACTTACAAAATGTAACAAATAAAGTTTAATTATTATCCATAATTTATTTTTTCTGTATGTCTGTCTTTTTATATACATGTATAAGCAATTTTAATGCAAGAGCATATCACTTTTAGATATTTTGCATTCTATACACAAATTCATTCCCTTATGTTTTCTATATACTTATATAGTATGTGTACCTTTTAAAGGCATTCTGTCTTTCTTTTTTTTTTTGAAGTTTCAACTGTGATAGATGTATTCTTGCCTAAATGTGCTAAAAAAAGTGCTACTTTGTTTTCTTTTGCCACTTTTCAGTGTATTATTATTATTGCCAACTTCTTTCATAGTTTTATTATTGCCACTTGTTTTGTAGTGTTATTATATCCAAGATTTAAAGTGTTACATGTACTTAACTATTGACAATTTCCTGTAAACTTTTGCATAATATGGCAATAGTAACAAGTAGTTATGAAACTTAGATAGGGAGTATTTTTGGACTTTTTGTACTTTCAAATCTCTGTTAATTTACATGAAGTGAAACGTTTTACATAATTTGACAATAATGATTCAACTGTAGATTTCTTTTTCTGGAATTGGTTCTATATATAGGTTTGATACACGGTATTAACATTGATAAGAATGGTACATTCTTGGCTAAATATGACGTGCATGTGCCAGTTATGGTTAAAGCTGCCTTCAGCATTTGTTTTCTGTTCAAAAGAAATAATTCTTTGTTGTTTCAAACTAAGTATATCAATTATTTTATCTTGAAAAAGTGCATCATATCACTGTTAACTCTTCTTTAAATCAGCGTCCCGAGAGCTATTTATAAAGTGTCAGTGATGTTATGTTTCTAAAATTAGAACATCGGGAAATATCGAATCATTCCACTTCAACTTTTATTTAAAAAATAAGGTTATTTTTTATGTATTTTTATCGTTGGCAAATTTCATTTTCCACCTTAATTCTTTTGATTTGTCAATAATATGAGAACTATTTCTCTAAAAATAACATATTTTGCATTTAACCTTTAGAAAAAGTTGAAGGCCGCTTTAAATTAATTGAAATTAATTTATTATGAGTCTATTACTTACCTAGATATTTTAACTTTATTGATTATTTATATAGTTATCATTACTTGTGGGAAATTACTTATATAGTTGTCATTACTCATGGGAAAATTTTGTCATGATTTCTTGTGATGTCATTCTGTCATCAGAATGCGAAATTTTTTTTTACAAACCTTTCATAGTTACTGTCCGATGGTTAAAATATTAGGACTGAAAATAATTTTTAATGTGTCTCCCCATAACGCCATCACTTAGTGAGGGTTATCTTAATTTTTGGTGGTTAACTTAAATGAATGTCATATTCTAAGCTTTGATGATGTTTAAAATAGATTGGTTCAAGGTCAAGGTCACTTTGGCTAAAGATGATTAATATTCAGGCATTTACAGCAAATGATTGTTGGATCATGTCATGTACATGTTGATGTAGATTTACATGTATATATTTTTTTACTTAACCATATTATGATTTGGCCAGTGCCATGGTAGCTGTATCAAGGCAGCATATATAGGCGCATCCACAGATGACACTTATAAAATTGAGTATTCATGTTATTTTAACCTTAATCCTGCTGATTTTGTGTAATGGATTTGCCAAGCTTTGAAATTGGAACAGTCCATTCAAAGTTAAAGGGAATTTGATTATCAAAATTCAAAATTATAGCCCAAATTTATGTGCAGGTTGACTTGACTGCTATGCTGATGGCAAAAAGCTAATCACTTATAGCTCCAGCAGGTACAGGGTTCATAATTTTGTTGTGCTGAAAAATGGCGTATCAAATTTTCAAGGGTATTTTTCTCCATTTCTTATTATTTCTATTTATCTTTCGATACCATATTTATATTGTTTATATGTGGCTTTTCAGGGTATTTGTGAGATGTCTTATTTTTGCTTTGTTCAAGTTACAGTGATTGATTTATTATTTAGATTTTGCTTTTTTTGTGAGTTGGTTTCTATAGTAACATTTATAAGTTTATCTGAGATCTTGCATAATATGTGTGACTGTAAGTCTGTTGTATTTGAAGTCCCTTGTAGTAGTTTAATTTAGAATTGTAAAATTTTGACATGAACAAATAATATTTTTTAGCTCATCTATTTCGCAAAAAAAGTCCAACTATTATAATTGCTGCAGGTCATCATTGCAGCTGTTGTTGCCGTTGTGCTAAAATTTTCATGTAGCCCATTTCTCAAACAGTTCTAAAAGGTATCAATATGAAAATTGGAATGCTTATTTATCATGACAAGATGCAGTTGTTAGACAAAGAGTGTAACTCTTAAAGTTAAACTTAAGATTTATGCCCCTTTTTAACCTAAAATTTTTGACAAAAATGGTTATTTTAACAGATGAGCATTTATACCGCATGACATACTCTTGTTTTTTTTCTGGCAGAGGCGATTTTGTTTAACATTTTACCCCATGAGCATATTGCAAAAAATGGCCGTTTTCATTGAAAAGCCTCCTGTAACAAGTTCAAACTGCTATGAAACTATGAAAAATGCTTCAATACTGATGAAACTTGGCACAAATGTTGACTTGACCATAGCCTCTGTAACAACATGCTCAATCGTAAATTTCCTGTTACCATGGCAATGGGGGGACGTCTCAAAATTGCCAAAAATCACTATTTTGTATTGTTTTTTTCCATCAAAACTGATTTCAAAGTGCTGCAACCTCAATAAAAGGGGGGGGTGGGGGGGTCAGAAAGCCGTTGAAACACGCTTATATAAGTGAAAAGGTTAATTATATAACAATGAATTATTGACCAGTTTAATTTATTAGCTCGACTATTCGAAGAATATGAGAGCTATTGTAGTCGCCCCGGCGTCGGCGTCCGCGTCGGCGTCAGCGTCCGCGTCGGCGTCTGCGTTGGTTAAAGTTTTTTGTAAAGTCAAATATCTCAATTATTACTCGAGATAATCAATTGAAACTTACAATACTTATTTTTAGTAACAAGGTACATCAGATAGACAAGTTGGATAACTCTGCCTACAATATTGACAGAATTATGCCCCTTTTTAACTTAGAAATTTTGGTTAAAGTTTTTTGTAAAGTCAAATATCTCAATTATTGCTTGAGATATTCAATTGAAACTTACAATACTTATTTTTAGTAACAATGTACATCAGATTGACAAGTTGGATAACTCTGCCTACAATATTGACAGAATTATGCCCCTTTTTAACTTAGAAATTTTGGTTAAACTTTTTTGTAAAGTCAAATATCTCAATTATTGCTTGAAATATTCAATTGAAATTTAAAACACTCTTTTATAGTAACAATGTACATCAGTTTGCAAAATTGCATAACTCTGCCTGCAATATTTGCAGAATTGTTTGCCCCTTTGAAACTTAGAAATTTTGGTTAAAGGTTAAAGGTCTTCAAAGATATTTACTACTTTACACATGCACTTAGGGTCATAATTGGAGGGTCATAATTGTATGTCACTGACCAAGTTCCATAACTCTATCTTGCATTAAGGCTGATTCATATCCCCTTTTCTACTTAGTCTCTTGGTAAATGTTTACATGCAAGTTTTACATATCTCAATAACTATTAAAGATATTTATTTAAAACTTCACATATGCATTTAGGGTCATAATTGTAGGTCACTGACAAAGATCCATAATTCTATCTTGCATTTAGGCTGATTTTTCTCCCCTTTTTCAACTTAGAAATTCATGGTAAAATTTTACTTGTAAGCTGTTATCTCAATAACTACTGAAGGGTTTGTGCCTTTTTTGGGACAATTTTATGCATTCATAATAATAAAGCAGTGATTTACTTGATAAAACATCTTAATAACAAGCCTTTGTACCTTTTCTGTCAAATTTATGTATTCATAGGTAATTAGTATTATTATACTCAATAAAACACCCTTGTGACATTACCTTCTGAATATTCAAGCCAATACTGTATAATTAGACTCTCACTAAGGCCAGTATAACACGAATTTATACTCAATAAAACACCCTTGTGACATTACCTTCTGAATAGTCAAGCCAATACTGTATAATTAGACTCTCACTAAGGCCAGTATAACACGAATTTATAAAAAAAAAATAGCCCTTTTGTGACCTTAAAAAATTTAACATTATCAAGGCTCTTTTACTATCAAGCACTTAGAATAGTCGAGCATGCTGTCCTACAGACAGCTCTTGTTTGCATGGGGATAATTTTTAATAATTGTGCACCTTGG